AACTAATTAAAGAAAATAAAAAGAAGTAAAGAAAATAAAAAAGAAGCTATCCTGTATAGATGATAGATAGCAAGAAAGAAGTTTTGAAAAATGGATGACTGTTCTTATAAGACATAAATGTAACATATTCTTACGTACGTATCAGTACTATGAGTTCTTTATTTCTATGAGTTCTTTATTCGTCTTTTAGGAAAGATTCCGTTTCTTCAATATGATTCATTAATTGAATTACCAATACATTTGTTACAATAATTTCAACCAATATCGTTAACATTATTGTTATTTAAACTGTGGGACGAGTTCCGAATGATTAAACGGTTTTCTTTGTTAAATTCTATCTTCATTATAAATTTCATTATAAATTTGGATGCTGATTTGTGAAGTCGAATTCATTTGATGCGCTTATCATTGTTCGTATAGAGAAGTGATCGGCACCATTGAGCTACTTAATATCTATTGAACTACTTACTATATTGTCTAAAAACAATATAAACCTATACAAAAAACGAAAAATAATTACGTATTACGTATGTATATACGTAATACAATACGTATGCACATATGAAACTTACTTGAAACCTCTAAACAATGAACATCTAAATTAGTAAATAAATTTTAATTAAAGTCACACATGATTCACATGTTGACAATGAGTAACACGAGACTTTCGCTTGCATGAATGATGATATAATGTCGATGAGTTAAACTGAGTCATTACTGTCCTCGTCAGTATATAAGACGAATGCCGCGTCGCTTCTATTCAGATCCGCTCGTGTGGTTCTGATTAAGATCTTTCAGATATTCAGATATTCAGATATTGAATTAAACGTAATGAATATGAATTCATCATCAACAGCTTCCTTTGAACCTTATCCACAAACCCCTATTTTAAAGAAATCTAATAGAGGTCGAAAAACTTTAGCTGTTAAAGAAGGTTATGTTGATCCAACTGGACAAACACATGTGATGACAGTGAGGCGAAGCTTGCCTCCAAATCCACGAAAACCAAAGAAAAGATCTATCAAAAAAGTCAATAACAAGCCACCGAGTTATTGCAAACGATGTGAATACGATGATAAATTCATCAATTTACTAACTGATCGAATCGTTAACTTGGAAAATTTGGTGCAAAAGATCTCTGATATCGCGGTCATCCAAACTCCTTCTGTTATGTTAAATTTCAACGCCATGGAAACCGATGATCTTATCGAATTATCTAATCATTTGGGAATATCATCCCCTGATTTACAAAATAACGATTACGCGTCGACAAACGAAATTGTGCAAAATCAACCCGTATCAAGCCAATTCGTGGCTACTCCTCTTACAAGTCCTTTATCCGATTGTTCCGATTTTTTTCCTGTAAATTTGAATACTGGTTTTACCCAGTTCTAAAATGATTTCACGTTTTTATTTATTTTATCATTTTTCATTTCGGCTGAATATTGGGCCATTTTATGGCTTGATTTTCTTTCGTTACGAGTATTCCATCAATCCTTTCGACTTGACATTAAACACACAAACCATCAACATTTTATCGATACATTTTTTTTTTATAGAATACACTTTATCGAATGTTTTTCTAAACAATTATAAAAATTCATATAGAAATTTGTTTTAATTAAGCTATCTATTCTAAGATTTATTTTCTAAATATGTATAAAAAAAAATATATTAATGTAAATAACGGTAAATTTTAAATATTCACGTTTTAATAAAACTTTGCGGTGAAAAAGAATACATATATACCTTTTTTTTTTTTTTAACAGTTTATGAAATTACTTTATTATCATGAAATTTTGTTGTATCCAGAAAAAGATCATGCTGTCGTGTAACTCTCAAAAAAAAAACAACCTTATATAAAACTAGCTAGGTCAAGGATAACTGAATTCAGAAATGGTACTAGCGCAAGCAAATTTTTTAAAATCAGCAGATTTTATGTCGCACATACGTTTTTTGAATTGTTATTAAAATAAAATTTGAATCTTAAATACTTGGTTGTACCCCCTAGGCCTTATTCAAGAAACAGGCCGGCAGGGATATTATTTTTGGAGGATACTGTAGGCAGTGGTCAACGGTACCTATTCAACAAGGGTTCTACTACAAAATCCTGACATCCAAAATCTCGAAACCATAATCCCGACGTGACGATTAATATTTAAAGATTAGTAATCACATTAACAGACTTTAAATTTTAATTGTCACAGCGCGTGATGTCAGTATTATGGTCTGTTGAGATTTTGGATGTCGGATTTTGTGGTAGAACCTCAACAGGTTTATCTCCTTGCTAGCGTTAAACACTTTTGAAAAAGTTTTATAAAGTTACAACGATTCTTTAATCATTGTAGTAACAAATTTATAAACAATGCTTACTAAATTGTTTTTATATAATACATTAAAATTTCTTTTGTGCATTGACATTAGCAATTAAAGTTATAAGTTTGAAATTTGTTATTTTTTTATTTTATTTTATTTTATTTTATTTTATTTTATTTTATTTTATTTTATTTTATTTTATTTTATTTTTTTTTTTT